CCGCGTGTATGCGTGAGTGCGTGGACGCTCGAGTGTCGCACGCGTTTGCCTAATTGTCTGGGACGCGCCGCTGCCGAATAGCCAGCAAGAGAGAGGGAAACCTCTTCCGCGTGCAAGCGACAATTAGCTGCCCGCCTTCGCGACGAACGCAAGCCGGGCTGTCACCGTGAGACGAATAGGTGCCCCGCGCTACGTAGCCAGTGTTTTTCGCCGACAAAGAACGAGAGTACAGAGTGCGTGCAAGTGGGTGAGAAGCCAAGGCACCGAGAGTTTACTGCGGACTGCGTGTGCGAGCATGCGTACGTGCGGACAACCGTCGACCAGGCCGAGAGAACTGCCTCGTGGCCGAACACCTGCGCGTGTCAGAAGCGAATCCGAGGCTGCTGCGAAACCGACGTTTATTGACTATCGAATTTTATTGACTTATGTACCTATCATCGCATACAAGACGACTCATACTTGGGGACAAGACAACATACATACAATAAAGTAGCGGCGCTCGCCCTGCTAGAGAGCCAACCCGGTGGGTTATTAAAAAGATGGTTTTTAACTGCATCCCCTCTACATATGTGTATCTACGTATTTGTAGCTACGAGGCATTTTTAAAAGAAAATTGAAGAAATACAGAATCAACAGTCTCGACTGGTTTTCCGTAAGGTGCATTTTTAATTTTTGCTCAGTAACTGATTTTGCTTTTCATCTGCTTGCTCAAGTTTCTGAAATGTTTAGTTCACGTAAAACCTAACATTAACAAAATTCTAACATTTGAGCAGAAATTTGTTGTAATCAGACAAGTTGAGAAAGGCGTAAAGAAAAATAAGAAATCGTTTTTAAGTTCCCCGGAACACTCTGTCTACTTTCATCAAGAATAAGAAGAAGATTATTGCTTAATGTTTTCTGTCAAATAAAAGTAGAAAAAAATGTAGAGGACCAGAGAATGAAGCGGAAGTTTCTAAAAAAGTGATTCAAGTTAATTTCGTAAAATCGTTCGTAATTGCGTAGGATTTCATTAATCAGAATAACAAATAGTCCTTCAAATTAACGCTCAAGAGTACAATTCGTGGGTGGATGGTCACCGTCACTATCTCTAGCTTTCCTATAACTTCACACGCTCACTATACCTGCACTGCATAACCCGACAATTGTAATGAACAGAAAAAAAATGTTCAATTAAGCGACGCAGATATCTGAGTTAATATCTCGATCCTAGCCTGCAGGCTCGTAATCAATATATGGCCATGCGGCGGTGTCATCCTTCGGTTCGTCTTATCTTTCTGCAACAAAGTTTCTTATCAGTATAAACAGAGCAGGGAGAAGAGGAGAATGAGAGAATGCCTATGAAGCAAAGACAATCGCTATTTCGGCGTTGTTCTCACACACATTAAAGGCATTGGTAGTCGTTCTCTCGCATGCCAAATCTAATCAAGTCGAGCGTAAAAAAATTCGAGGCTATTTATTATACTGCGCGCATGATAAAAATTTGTCTTGAGGATGGAAAGGAGGTAGCGCGGGAATTTCATTATGTATCGGAGGCCTCATTTTCTCTCTCACTCTTGATTATTATTAGGTACAGGCTTGCACATAGCGGTTAATGTTAATTACGATCAAGACCTGCTCGAGAGAGCGAGGACTTTGATTGAGTTTGAGAACTCGTGGCATTTACATAATTGCGTGCTAAATAACGCCCTTGCCGTCCGTATTAAATTATTACAATTTCTCGTTTCACTTGCCGCTTGCGTAATAGTGAATCTTTCGTGCGCACGATATACTTCTGTGTTATGCGTTTCTGATTTCTCACTTTCGGTTGTACGTACCGCCGCTGTAGTAAATTGTAACTCGTCTAAATATTCTTGCGTACATTGAGGAAATTTTCTCTTTCTGAATTACTCATTGATTTATGCGATATTTTTTGTATTTGCATTTTAAATTAGACGCCTCGTGCGTCAGATTCTCTTTTTTCAATCCTATTTCTCGCAATAATGTTGTATATTTATTCGTGCGTGCGGCACTAGTCGCATATTATAAATTTCAACGCCGACTTTTACTCGTTTCTAAAAATCTATGTGTCTACTCAAAATAAAACATTGGCCTTTAAGGAAGAAGATTGCAGCATCGATAAGTTGAGCAAAATTCGCTTTATTATTCATGTAGGAGCTAATTCAGACGGTAGTGAAAAACTTCCTCTACTCGTCATTAGAAAGTCTACCAATCAGCATTGTTTTAAGAATGTCCACATGTAGCTTTGTGATTATAAAGCGAACGTAAAAGCGCGGACGACTCGTAATATTTTTTCAATGTGGCTGCTGAATATACGAGTAGATCGAAAATTCGGACGGAAAAAAAGAAAAGTGCTACTTTTTCTCGTCAACTTCAGTACCCACGGTTAAGTTCTGAAACTACAAAACGTCAAAGTTGTTTTCTTTCTACCTAATATGACGTCGATCGTTCAGCCTTTGGACCAAAAAACCATCAATTTGTTAAAATTTTGCTATCAATCAACTTTAGTCCGCGACGTTTTGGATAAACACGTCAATTTCAACATCAGCAGAGTGAAGATCAACATTGTACAAGCTAGAAGGTATGCACTGATGTTTAGCGACAAGTCTATTTAGTTGATTCTATTCTCTTTAAGAATAGAATATATTCTATCAAGAATGGTTTTATAAGAGCAGGTTTCGTCTGTATCAGCGCAAAAGCTGAAATCGTAGAAGGTAGTGTTTCAATCAATATGCATATAGAAGATTATTTGAACGTAAATTAACATGTGGGCATTTGTGAGAAACTCTCAGATAAAGAAATCCTGGATAAGGTGGAAGAAAAAACGAGATCGAAAGTGTTGGATAACGAGAAAGACAAGGAACAATCTGCACCTCCAGCAGCCCCAACACTCAGCGAAGCTTTAAAATTTCTACAAATATTCCGAAAATTTGCTGAATCAATGCTTAACGTAAATGACGGAGTTTTTGCAGCGATGAGCATGCTTATAAGGTTTGTTTTAGAGGAAAAAGTCATCAATATGAACTAATCAAGCATTTCCAATTTTTTTAGAAAAAAATGAAGAAATTGAATATGTATGTCCTTTTTTTCAATTTTCTCCACAAAACAATCGGTTCTTTTCAGGTCCAACAATTATTTAAATGTATAGCAAAATATTCGTAAAAAATAAATGAATAATCCTACTTCTTTATCCTTTACACTTATCTATACTTATTCACTTTAGCCTTCGCACTTTATCACTTCAATGACAATATTTATATAAATTAATAATTATCATCTAAATTTTTATTATTAATAGTATGCATATATTCTATATATTTGTATGTAATTATTATGAGGAAGATAATTAACTATTGTTAAATATGCGCCAATAATATGTAATTTTGAGCATGTACGTGTACAACCTCACTAATTTTAAACTCCTCAATAATTTAAACTTTAGACTCGATTCTTTGCTGTTCGAATTATCGAGATTCAAGTGTACTACGTCAAGGCTAATGCCCAAGTCCAGACCGCTAGCGTCACCCAACAAAGAAAGCCGAGAATTTAGTCGACTATTTTGGACATTCTTGTCAGATAAAACTTAATATCAACGTGAGTATCATGACTGCATCGCTACCCTGGCTGCTCCTAATTTATGTTAATGCATTTTTTAATTGCTCTTTTAAAGGCTAATTAATTATTTATTGTTTAAGAACAGGTTACATTTTTCCTGCAGTTTCAGTAATATTGAAGTTTGGACCGTGATCAGTTCCTCGAAAGACGATACCCTGATAATTAAAGCCATTTCAGTCTCAAATGTATGGAGACATTCGAGGGCCCGTTCGTAATAGAGTAGCCACCCAGAATGAACCTCAACTCAACTGCCTGCTTCTCAAGTCTATAAAAAAAGAAATCATTGGAAGAGCAAGTCCAAGGTGCTCATCGGAATCAATATGTTAATTACAGTCGATATGTTAGGGTCCCCGAGAAACCTCGAAATCCACATTACTTCTTTAGTCCAGTTGTAATGGACCATATATCATAAAAACTTCATTGAAAATTTTTTATATAGAAAAAGTTATAGTGAAATCAACCAGTTTCGATTATTTGATAGCCAAGTTTGTTAAAGCTAGAAGTGGAAAAAATATTTTGAATGGGTTGAAAGTTTTCTTTTAGAGGCCTAGAGATTAAATAAGTTTGTTTTATATCATCAATATGAATTGATTTATGAAACATTTCTATCCTCAATAGCAATCTATACCTTTGCTTCTTAAAGATTTAACCATATTGTTAGATCCATCAGAAAATCCACTGACTGAATCGAGAACACACTTGTTTGTTAGTACGAGGGTGGGTCAATAAGTCCTTAGAAAATCCAAAACATAGTGCTCAAAGCATCTTGGCGTGCATCCGCCGTAATCCGGACAGCTTTCTGCATCAATTCATAACTGAAGATGAAACGTTGATACACCACTACACTTCTAAGACGAAGAAAGAGTCAAAACAATGGCTTGTGAAAGGTCAACCAGCTACTAAGAAGGCGAAGACAGTGAAATCGGCCGGCAAGGTTATGGCGACTGTTTTTTGAGATGCACACGGAATTATCTTCGTCGAGTATTTAGAAAAAGGACAATAAATCACCGGAAAGTATTATGCGTCGTTGTTGAACCGGTTAAGCGAGAAAATAAAGAAAGAACATCCTCATTTGAACAAAAAAAATTCTGTTTCATCAAAACAATGCACGAGTGCACACTTGCTTAGTTTCAATGGCTAAAATTAAGGAATTGAAGTTCGAATTAGTAGACCATCTACTGTATTCACCGAATTTGTCCCCCTAGTGACTGTTTTTTATTCCCAAACCTAAAAAAGTGGCTTACTGGACAACGATTCTGAAAGAAAATTATGTTGAAAAATAAAAAAAAATCTATCAAAACAAAATTGTTTTTCTATCTTTTTCTAAGGACTTATTGACCCACCCTCGTATTAAAAAGTAGTAGTGATATAAATTATATAAAACATACCTCGTTAATGAGCAAGAACTTTCGTTACTATAACTGTGATCTTGTACTCTCCTTGGACTTTGTGATAATGAACGGGAAATTTTTCTCTCTGTTTTACGATAGGAATAACTCTTAACAGTAGTGTTTATAATTGGCGTTGTACATGAAGATAAATCGGATTCTGATGATATTGCAGAGGTATATTGGTCAACCGATATTTTTGGTACTTTTTGAATTTTTGTATTTTTAATTTTTTGTGATAAAGTGAAATTAGTCTGTTTATTATAACTATACGATGAAGATGTTTCACTATTAGGAATTGATTTAGATAATGTTGAAATTTGACATTGTACATTATTAGCTTCACATCGCTGTTTTGAACTATCTTTATTGACTAAGCCAAATTTGAAAATATTAGTGACAAAAGAATTTTGAAGTGAGGAAGATGGCTTGAATGAATGGTTAGATTCATCAATTAGATCATTTTCACTGTCTATACAGTGTTTCAATCTTCTTTCTATTTTTCTTTGAGTATTCGATTGGCCCAGTAAAGTTACATCGTCATACAAAGAATACTCAAGGGAATAAATATCTTGTTCTTTTACAGCATTAAGAAGATTTATCAGTGAGCTTCTTGTGTTTAATTTTTTATTTTGCAATGCTGAGACTTCCTTATGTATTGTAATGTCATAGCATGACTTTGGCATATACGATTTGGTAAATTTACTAGTTTGATTAGTTTCTTTTCTGAAAATATTAAGAAAATTGTTTTGATCTGAATTTTTATGTGCTTCAATTTTTGTGTCAACACCAAAGTTTTGTATAAGGCTTTCGTGTCTATCATCTGTTTTATTTGTTAATAGAAGACAATCTTCTTCAATGTATGGTTGTAATTTAATAGTAGGATTTAATAATATTGATATATGATTTTTAATAACATATTTAAGCTTCCGTTTTCTTTTTGTATCGGTTTTCAAAATTTTCTTAATTTCAGATAATATATCCATGTAACTATTATTATAACGTCCTTGCATTAAATACAAATATTGATAATGTTACGACTGTATCACTTTTTCTGAAAATTTAAGAGTTTATTAGTTATTTACTTCATATTCTATATTTAATTATTGCTATAAAAATGTTTGTAAAGTGAACACCTTGTTCTAAAAATATTTGACATTAGAAATATTTATCCTCGAAATATGAAGAAATATTTAAATTTTTCAGAAGATGAAAATGAAGATGATACACAATAGGACAATCTTAATCTCACTTTGCGTGAATAATAATCATTTAAATCGGTTACTTTTTTTACATTCTTATTATTTTCATTCTTTAGTTAATGACATGCTGACTTCACTTTGATTACTCTGATCCATATAAATAAATATAGTCTTCATATAAATTGTCATTCATGACCATTTATGACTGTTTATCAGTACAAATAAATTTAATCAAAATCTAGCTGAAACAATAAATTAAAGTATTATAAGAAGAAAATTTTTATAATGTTCTTTCATGGCTAGTATTAATAAAAATATGGTTCATTATATAATTAATAAATCATGTGGTCATTTTGTGACTTTCCGTTATATTCATATAATTTTATTTTTGAATTTATGAAATAAAATATTTAATTAGATTGATAAATTATTTTCAAAGAGTCAGTGATAACACTTACGATTAATGATTTATATAAACGCCCAGTAATCAGAATTCAATCAGATCAAAGATTTAATTACTCTTTGAGAAAGTGTTATGTTATATTACTGATGGGTACGAAAAATCCGCTTCACTCATCAGTACCTGACAAATTTGTGTAACATTTATATTCATAATATTTATATTTCACGTGATTCGAAATATTAATGCCTTGAATTTGCCAGCATTAGAGCATAGATTAGAGCACACCGTCGAACCAGAAATAAACGAGATGTTCTAAATAATTTAGTTACGGTATGAATAGTTTGTCTTTGTCAGTCTACAAATATATCTGTAAGTCATCGGCATAAGACACACACACATACATCTTAGGTATGTAGTATTTGTATTATTTATAAATTATATCTATCTATATCTCTATCGCAATGCTGGGTATTATAAGGACTATGACCATAATTGGTGTACATCTTACATCTCGGAAAAGCCACCGTCGTTACTCTTTTCTGTTCCGTGACCGGTTGCATAATTACCGTCATCAACATTTCTGACTCAAACACCGACGCTCTTTTGTTTTTCCAATAAATCACGTCGAAGAAAATGTTGTTAAAACATTTCAATGCGATCCGATAGCAACCGCATCGAAAGAGAGAGAGAGAAAAAGAGAACGAAGAGAATGAGAGAGAGAAAGAGAGGGAGGGAGATAACTCAAAAAAAGGAACCCACCCGTGAAAAATTATAGATGCCCAATAAAGTGTACTGACTGCTTATTTTGAAACTTAGGAAGTCTATTTTCGAAAGCCATGTGTGCCGCTGAAAATCCAATACGGCCGCTTCAATACGGAAACCCAAATTAAGAAAAAATATTTTTATGAAAAACGTTCTAAAAAATAAATTCCTAATCGATCAGACCGCATTTTAACTCAAATTGTAGCTAGTAAATGTCTCTTAAAAATTGTTCTATTTGGATGAAACAATCGAACATGGCGGATCCAATATGGCGGACGGTTTTTTCTCGAATCAACGGATTTGCACTAAATTTGGTATGCAGGGGTTTTCGAGATCACTAGAATCAAATATGAAGTCAGATTTGCAAAATTGAAAATGGTGTGTACAATATGGCGGAATATTTATTGAAATGAACGGATTTCGACTATATTTGGTGTAAAGGCTTTCAAGGATTACGGAATAAAAATTCTAATTTAGTACAAAGATGTACAATCGAATTCAGAATTATGTCGATTTATTTAAGCGATCACAAAAAATTACAACCCCTGCATACAGAATTTGTTGCGAATCCATTAAATCTGATAAAACTATCCGCTATATTGGATTTATCATTTTGAATTTGGCAAATCTTACTTTATATTCGTCTTCAGTATCCCCAAAAATCCTAATATAATACGAATTGATTGATTTTCAAAAATTCGGCTACCACACAGGATATATACAGGATGTCCAATTTTTTAAATAACGGACCTGAATATCACGAAAAGTTGACGTCGTACGAAAAAATTGTTCATATAACAGTTATTTAGGACAGTGGGGGATATCAACGATACACTTACTTTAGTAAATTTAAAAGTATGAGATTGCACATTAACCCTCCACTCAAACCTGATCTCTAATACAGTTTTCAGATTTTTACAACACAGGTCGGTTAGGTAGTTGTAGGTATTCGCAATAAATAACTTTGTCCGTAGAATGGATTGGCGTAATTAGTTGTATAAAAAATGAATTTTTTGGTAATTTGTTTAAATAATTTTGTTATATTTGTTTATATTTGCAATTATTTATAAACAATTGCAAATGACAAAATAACAAACATAGGTACTTTTTTCTTCGTTTTGTCCCGATTCTAACAGTTAGTTTAATACTATCTCATCCAGTTTTGGCCTGGGCTTAATGGATTAATATAGAATATAATAAAAATACAATATTTTTATAGTGAGAGTATAATAAAAGAATATTTATAATATTTTTTTCTCTGTGATTATCCGGACTTATAATCCACGGTTATTAATAAGCCGTCACATTAAAATAATTGTATCTAATGCAACGATTACCGAAAATCGTAGACTCGCGCGAGGTTAGCGAGCGGCTAAGCGAGAGGAGCCGCGTTCGGTCCGTGAGAGAGAGAGAGCGCGTAAGGGGCAATGACCGGGAGGGGAGGCTCCGACCGGCAGTATGACTGTGCCACTCAGTCCGTTCGTGCCGATCTAACCTCCAACCTCCCGAGATTTGTGTTTTGCCATTGACATTGTGACTGGAGTGCGTGGGTGGGTGTGCAGCAGCAGCAACAGCAATAGCAGTAGCAGCAACTGCGGTAGCAGCAACAGCAGCAGCATCAACAGCAGCAACATCAGTGACGACAACAGCAACAGCAATAACAGCATTCGAGGCGGTGCAGCGAGCAGCGTAGCGGCGTTCCAACGATTCGTCGATCGGATACGGTTGGCCACCGTATCCTCATCGTTCCCGCGGTAGGTGCACCTTCCCCTTTTTAATTGTTGTTACAATTTGCGTGCGAATCCGCGCAGCGAGCGCGAAGAATTTATTGTTGCGTGCGAGCAGGTAGTTCGCGGGAATCGTGGTTTTTTCTCTCTCTCAATCTGCGTGTGTTGTCAATCACGCGTGCGTGCGTTAGACTCTCGGCAGATTCCCCGTGTCATTGATTTAATTGAATAAATCAATCATTATTTCTATTTAAACGAGTTTCCGTTATTGTGTTTTTCCTTTGTCCGGAGGTCGCGTTAGTGTTTACGTTCGATTCGAATTCGCCGGTTACGTAGCACGAACCGCGCGAATACAGGTAGACGCGAATCGACGACTTGGGTTCCAGCGGCGGCCGCACGAGCGCTACTAGCAAGGGGCGACAGCGCCGCCAAGCGGTGAGTTGGGGGAACCCAACTCAGAACAGTGAAGAGACTCTGCGCAGGCGCACTCCGAGGCAAGGTAGGTTAATGCGCATCGAGCGCATAGATAACTAGGCGTCGTCTGGTCACTTTTAGGTGTATCTAAGGATTTATTGATTAGACGGCAGCCTGTTACATGGCGCCCAACTAAATTAGGACTCACACACGAGGGAAATTGCACGAAAAGAGAGAGCAACGCGCGCGAGAGAGAGACGTTTGCGCGCGTGCGTAATAAGGTGCGAGCGGGTAAAGTAACGCGTGGTTCGTTCGGTACGTGCTCTGCGGTAGGGGAAAGACGCCTCTCCGACCCAATAACAACTGCTTTTGTGAGCCGAGAGCACACTAACCCCAGGGGTCGAAGAGACGTCCGTAGTCGCTCTAACGCGAATATAAAAGGTCACTAATTGTATTTGGGTTAACTGTTCGCTTTTTAAGTGTTTTATTACACATTAAAGTAATTAAGTGGGGGTTAGTCACCGAGCGACAGTACCAGCAGAGTGCGCAAATGGGGTGTGTGTAGGGTTAGATTAACTAACCCGGTGGAGCTAACAAACAGTTAGCCTCCACCTATAGGCAGGTAGTTGCGAAGCGGAAGTTCGTACTTCCTTAGAGTACGCGATACCTGCACACACCCACAAGCCACGCGTATTGTTGCCTTGTAAATAAAGGCGTAATTGGGTAGTTGGCGATAAAAATCGTAACACCCCGCTCGCGCCTTGGGCGATAGGAGGCGGTGGTGGTCGACTAGGAAAATCAACCTCAACCGCCACCTACGCCCCAGCATAAGCGTCATGGAGGATACCGCCGACGCGATAACCCGGTGGGCTTCGGAACTGCCTTCGACACAGCTGGACAGGTACCTGACGCAACTGGAGTTGCGAACAGATGGTCCTAAGCTGATGCAGGCAGTTCGATTAGCATATTGGTTGCTAGGCGAGTATATCGACCTAGACTTCCAAGGAGCGGCGTTGGATAGGGAGGCCACACAACGCAGGCGACGGAGTCGAGAGAGGTGGCTGGAGTCCAGGCGACAAGAGTTAGAAGCAGCTGATGCGGAGGATCTTGTCGCCCACCCACTCATGCTGTTATACAGGGATGAGGTGGTGGAGGCCAACCTGACGCGGTCTCTCGCAGTCTATGACAACTTTGAAGAGGAGAGTCAGAGCGAGACGGGGGAGCGAGAGCCCGCAGAGGAAGGGGGGACCGGCGAGGTCAAGGGGCCCACGGAGGGGGTCAGTAGTGAGCACAAGGGCTCCACCGGATCGCCGGATAGGCGAAGAGCCCGTCGCTTCGAGAACGCGGAGCTACAACCTCCAGAGGAAGAGGAAGAGCGGTGCGTGACCGAGCGACTAAAAGAAGAGATCGAGTGCAACCGGGCCGGGATAAACCGCATATTGGAGATGCTGGAAAAACACGACCAGGTATGCGCGCGGTGGAGCGACCAGGTGACCGCTCTGCAGGTGGAGTTCCAGCAGTTTAGAAACAGGGACCCCACCAATCGACGAACGGTCATACCAGAGCGGCCCCGGAGGACCGTGGACTTCCAATCCACGTATACGTGCCACTACGACCCAAGGGTACCAGGTAGTACCCCGGAACCCCAGCGACCGACCCCTGGCGAACCTCGAGAGGCTCCCCAAAGGCAGGCGCCTTCAAGGACGGAACAGCCACCGAGAAGAGGACCAAGAGACGCCGACATGGA